ATGAGCACGTTTAGTATATACACATGTATTTCCCTATGGATGGCTTGGGTGGGAGCCTTCATAGCCGTCTGCGTCGATTCAAGAGTTTGTGTGAAAGCGGCAGTGTGCAGCCGCAAGACCTGTGGCAGGAGCTCTTTGTCCGATGCAGAACTCGCTATCTCTCCATAAATCTAACTGAAATTCTCATTCAACCCAATTATTATTTAATTTGTAAAATAGAAAGCGTATAGTAAGTGATCATTGGTCCAGAAAGCTGTCTGGCATTTTGCGGCCCCCTTGAAGATCGAGGACTGTGAAATATTGAATCTGAATGGCTAAATAGTTTGCTAAATCGCCTGCGAGAATTGTCACAAGAACGCGGCTCAGACAGCGCAATTGGGGGCCCTTCGGCATAACCAATATCCTCTCATGTTAGTTGAAACGAAGTTTACTGGTTTGGCTTTAGTCAACAATCAAACTAATATTTTCAAGCTGATTGGATTGGACAACATGTTTCAATCACAACAGGCAGTTCTAATGCGAAGTCGGGGAGGGGGGAATTTTGCATGATCTACTACTGGAATGGACGTGCGCTGAATTCATCTGTCGATTCGAATCGACAGCTTTTTGCCCGCGAGTATACCAATTAAAAGCATATGTGTGTCTCCTGCCACCAGCGCGGTTCGTCGCTGAGGGTTGAGTCGTCGAGATTCGACGGAAACACAGCTGGCAAATCCGGCGGAGGCATTTGCGCAGAAGTAAGCACGTCTCCCTGTCGGCCTGTGTGCCCACCATTGTGGAACTGCTGCTATTGCAAATTAGGTAAACGTTTGTTAACTGCAGCAGACCCGTTGCATTACGTTGCATTGCGGTGCCCTGCGATGCGCTGCATTGCGTTGAATTGCGCTGATCATGGCATAGTGTGCCGTCACATAATTTTGTGGCTGTTCCAAACATCGCATCTCTTGTTCATGGTGGCATGTGGCCTGTGATGTTTTAATTGGTGGTTGATGTACTTAGGGTGATTTTCTTAGCGCCCCTTCAAGCACAGCGGCCACAAGTCCACAGTACCAGAACATCCAAATTTGGTCCTATCTTTCCCGGAGTTTTGGTTCCTTACGCGGTTTCCGTTAATTCCCTTGTGTTTTACAAATGTGGCGAATGTGATGTGAATGTGGTGTTGGCAGAAAATGGGGTGAACCCCGAAGGTTTGTTGTCTTCACCTTATACGTGTCATGTTTAGATTCCAAATGTCTGCAATTGACGGTTGTCTTCATGATGAGATCCTATGCAATAATTTGGCTTTCAAAAGCATGCGTGAAGTAACTCTGGTTGGATGGCATGTGGACATTGCAGCTCAATTTGCGTTCCCATTTCTTCTGTCAATATTGCTTCTGTTTGTGATTGGAACGGCGCATGTGGATTGTGCAGCATTTGTGTTCCAGCATATTCCTGGAACAGACGTTGGCTGAGGCTTGAAGCATAAGTTGACTGGCTTCTGATTGAACAAATCAACTTGTCCAGAGTTGCTTTACAATTTTTACGATCTAGTTTGCTTCCTTGAGCTATTTTCGCGGTGCATATTTTAATTTCTTATCCTCAAGGAAAGTCACCAAAGTAGTCTTTTAAAGTCCCACAGGCCTCGATTAGTAAGCATTTGCATTTAAAGTGTTTCACCGAAAGTGCCCATCATTCACTGACAATGCACTGCTGTTGCATTTTGTGAGTTTTCATTAGATAGTTAAAATCATATTGAAAATTCTTGCCATTATATTCTGTTCCAGTATGTTATTGTTGTGTGTGGCTTTTGGAATGTTGTGTGCGCACAGCTTGGAAAAGTATAGAATAATATGCGTGCAGAATTGATGACAACTGGCTCCAGTGAACGAACTATGTCCATCCGGTCCAAGGAGATCATGAGGCCATTGCCACTGACAGCAACATTAAACAACAAACATCAATGCACCAACAGCAGTTACACTGAGCACATATTTGCCGAGGGCTGAAGAAAGCCATTGCAGCAACGGGGACGAGAGGGAGCGGCAATCCATCACAAATTGATACACATGCCACATCCATGCCAAGGAGTGAAGCAGACAATTGTTGCTGAAAGAGGCCTAGAGAAATGAGCATCAATTCACTACCTGGCACCAATGCCTGTCGTGCCTCATTGATGGCGAATTGCTGCCCGTTGTCTTGTTCTGCTCTTTCTGGCAATAGTCTGTTTCAACCCTTGCGCTCGGTTGGGTTTGTTGTGGCAATCGGTGGTGCGTTGCCGTCCACTGCTCTGAGCTCCGCCTTGCATCAATGGCTAGCTCCAGCCATTGGAACGAATGTGCTTGGTATGCACATTGGTGTTGATCCGGTGTTCGCTGTTTGTGCTTTATTGCATAGGGTAGGTGGGGTCAAGCGATTAGCTTCCAAATGCAACCTTCCGTGTTCTACCCTCAAACATTTTAGTAATTTGACCACCATATGAGTTCGTATACCAAATTGATGAACGTCTCCCATCTCATTATCGTTTCTGCTGCGGCATCCGTTGAATTCTTCTGTGCGCGCGCAAGACTGCAAGTTTCAAGGAAACGGTGCTGGCATGGGGGGAGGCGGCATTTACGCTTTTGTGAGCGCAGTTTCTTATAATGTTGCGTTTTATTGTGCACTTGTTTGATCATGCGACTCCGTAATGACTTGTGCTGTCGTGTCCTTCTTTGCTGCTTCATTTTTTCCAATATTAGTGAATTGCTTTTTGCGCGCCGTTTTCAGTTTTGTGGTATATCTGAAGTGTCCTCGCGAACGAGCGTGGTTTTTTGGCAATCTCTCGGTATCTCACATGTGACTAATGCAATTAAAACACAAATTCAGCGCATTTTTGCAAAACTATCAATAACGAGACTTATTTGCAGTCTCAGATAATGGCAACAAATCCTTCAGATTGTTCATGCCCACAAGCAAAACGCTTGGCAAACGCTGCGTGCTGAACAAGTGTGTTGTTCAGAATGAATGGTAGCAATAATTCACCAGCAGAATGAATTTTCCTTGTTCTTGTGCGGCAAACAGACGAACAGCAACGTCACGGTCGTGGGATGCTCGTTTGAGAGCAATAAGGCTGGCAGAACAGGAGGCGCGCTGGCGATCGTAGCGGGTGCCAAAGGCGTGCCTGGAGACGACTTGGTACGATACGCAGCCGCGTGGTTTTGCCTTGTTGCGGCTTTGTAGCCCAAATGCAGTTTGTTTTGGTGGTGGAAATGTGTGGAATGGCGGCATGTCTGATTGTCAGGCTGAGTGATGGTATCAGCCCCGAAGATTTCTGAGGATGCATGAAAGTCTCTGGTACGCTCAGGTGTACCAGCGAATAGGCCCTCAGGCGAGAAACCTATCCGGTCAATGAGCCCCTTCCTGCACACCTTGGTTGGGGCAGAGAAGCTTAACGTCAGATTTTATGAAGAGGCATTTGGGGGGAGATCATGGACTTGTGCGATGCGGCTTTCCTCCCGGTCATCATCGTTGATCGTCAGCATGTAGCATTTGAAAGTGAGAATCGAAATTGACATGAGGATGGACATGACAGAATTATGTAAAGAGGTACACGAGTCGTAGCTTTGCTACAGTGCGTTTTTCGTGGAAGCTTTCTGGAGCATTTTTAACCGTTTCTCACACAACCTGCGGACTGCTTTTGCCATGTTTTTTGCTGCCTGAGCTGCGCGCAATGCTCGAAGTGCCATGTAAAGTGCCGGGACTATTGCTTGACTCAAGTGCTGCAAAAATGCTGTGTATTTGAACTGTGTGGCAGTGCGTTTTCCGGAGTTCGTCGACGCCAAGGCATCTGATCAGATGCCACTCAAGTTCAAACAAGTTCGGATGCCACACAAGTTCAACATCATGATGTTGTGCCGCTGCCCGCAGGGTTTGTACATGCTCAACATAACTTCATCAAATTTTAGTGAGAACCGGTCTGGCAGGCAAGGAGGAGCGGTATTTGCTGAGGTGAGCCGCTGTGTTGCAATTAATTGTGTTCGAGCTAAGGAAAGTGCACTAAGTCGTAACTGCAAAACTGGTAAGTGCTTTCTTCTTGTATAAATCGATCAGCGAATTGTGAAGTAATTGCAGCAACATGTGTAAGGGTTACTAAGCCCCAGTAAGGCAGATTCATCTTCCCACTTTGAGGGAGAATTCCGTCTACTATTGGGTCGATGCCTATCCTTTTCAGTGGCTTCTGCCGTGCCTCCGCTTTGCTTCGATAAATTTCCATAATTGTTGTCGTGTTACTTTTTAAAATATTTCATGTTCAATATGGCATGGGATATTCGTGTATACACGATTATCACAACACATACATGCGTTGCAATAAATTGATCTAATAGGGCCAAATTGCTAAACAGAAGCCACTGTGTTTTCGTTCTGGTTTCGCCACCGAAAAGAACCTCCTTTTGCCCTCTCTCGATGACACTAAACCTAATTTTCACCTAATATTCACCAAATATTCTCCATTTGCGATCCATATAATTGGCTGACTTGCATTAAAGAGTTGGTTGAGTTGCGAACCACATGAAACATGTTTGGTAGGCAAGAAAACCTCAACAGAAGCGCGGTGGCTATAGCTTGGGGAGTGGTCGTCATTGCAGCAGTCCACTGCAGCGCATACAAGCATAAAGCCGCACAAAAGCGCAGGGCCCTTGAGCAACTCAAAAAATCCCATGAGTTGAAGCTGTCACACCCCAACGCCCCTGTCCTGTGCGCGACTGCAGAGCTCACAAAACATCTTTCCTCTCGATAAACGTCAATCAATTATTCAAAACCGCGCAACGATACAAGCACAGAAAACAATTCACAAATTGCATAATCGCATAATTGAAAGATACGCAATTGCAAGAGAATACAACATAATTGCAATAAGTAGAATACACCAAATCTGATAGTAAATGCGATACTTATCTGTACTAACGTAGTTGTAAGTTACAAATTGCATAGTTGCCCCCAAGACATCGCCCACCAAAAGCGTCCACTCCTGTGCCCGACCGCAGAGCCCCACAGAGAGGGACGACGAGTCTTTCGTCCGCATCAGCGCCACCACGTTCTCGAGAAACCGCGCGGGTCAGGAGATCTTGTCCATCTCCGACTCGCCCCTGGTGGCCACGAGGTCGGGATTCGGCGGCGCGCTGTACCTGGGAGACGACTACGGGGACACCACGAAGAACGGGAAGCTGCGGTGCAGGCTGAGCGATGACGTGAACTTTTCCGAAAACAACTCTGAGAATGGGGGGGCGCTGACGTCGGTGAGCGTCAGCGAGCTGTCGCTGGAGTCGGTGGTGTTCTCCCGCAACTTCGGCGTGAGGGGTGGAGCGTTGTACATGCAGGTGGGGGATTGCATACGTGTATGGAGGGGAGAGAGGGGAGCAATTTCAGGTACAGGGCGCTACAATATAGAGTAAACATAAAGTAGTTGTTTCAGTACAGTAGCTTAAGTACAATGTTGGCAGTTTATTTGTTTCACAGGGTGTCTCGGCGCAAACCTCGAGAGCTTTGAGGACGGGCGCTTTTGCCCCTTGAGCTTGAGAATGCTGTGCACCCTCACGTGGACGCCAAGGAGTACAGGGCGTTGTCACCTGATAAGAAACCAATTCACTACCGCCTATTTTTTTGATCAAACCATAAATTATCAACACTATTTGATCTTGAGCACGCGCCAAAACAATTACATGCAAGGCGCAAAAGGAAGCAATGTAAAGGCCACCGTGCAATTTCCAAGGCACCAGCCCCATTGATTCGGTGCACAACATCCCCGAGTACACATAACTTGGATCCTAAAACATCAGTACACATGATTATATTCCATCGCTCAGAACCTGCCTTCCGTTTCCCGCTACAGTCACTACGCCTATTGGCGCACCAGTTGATGCACAGAGATTGGTACATCAATCATTGTATTAAATCGTCCAACAATTGGTGCCCGATTTCATGCACAATTGGCGCACCAATTTACGCACTAACTGGTGCGCTTAAATTGATACTAAAAGATCAAATACAGGTGACTGAAGGTCACTGCGATTGACCATGTGTTCAACATATGTTGAAACTCTCTTGCATGCAACTGCCTGCAATGGCCTCAGAAACTATTAATGTTTGACCCTAGCACAATATACAGCTCTATGTGTTGTGTCACAACTATCAAGGAACATGTGGGTAGTCCGGCCGACAGCACGACTCCACTCCGTCGGGTTAATCAGAGGACCGCGCTTGCGCAGCACCCGTATATCCGGCCTTGTAACCACAGCCAAAATGTTCGTTACGGATAGTGGCTGCAGCACTCCGAAGTATCTGCATCCCGAATGTTGCGTATCCTCAACACGTCAGTGCACAAGGCGGCCGTCGCACGCGTTGCTGTCTCGAGGATGGCGGAATGCCTTCCCTCTTTCCTTATTCGCAAAGGCAGATGTGCTCATCGACACCTCACCAGTAGAAAACAACATGCTTGCAATACCATTTTGACACAAATTGATGCCATCACACCACTTTTTATGCCACCGCAATCACTGCGATGGCACCATTTTGTATCAAAATGACATCGCAGCTGGTGTCGCAAACACGCCGTTTTCTACCAGTGCCTCCTGTGCCTGTGGTTTACATTCATCTGTGCATCATGGTCTCCTCCCTTTTCCCGGAAATGCAAATGTGTTTATTGGCGCTTCTGGTTCACATTGGACGCAGAATTTTGGCTACCTGTGTTTTTTCAGAGACACATGTGTTTATTGGCGCCCCTGGTGTCTATAGATTGCATTTACCTCCGGATAATGGTCACGTCTTCTTTGCTAGAAAGAAGGATGCGCTCACAGGCGACTCTGCATGCACAGGCCCTGGGCGACAAGAGCCCCATCACCTCGCGGCCGCCGGCGCACTACCTGACCGGCCGCAACATCACGTACAGCGACAACGTCGGCGCCCTGGGCGGCGCCATGTTCCTGCTGGTCAGCCCTGCCACCGCCCCCCTCCAGAGAAAAGGCCTCTCCCCCTTCGACATATCGGCGCGCGACGAACGTCGCCCCGGCCAGACGAACAACGACGACGACGTCTTCTTCGAGGACTCCTCCTTCAAGGGGAACACCGCCGTGGACTGCGGCGGGGGGGTGTACACCAAAAGGGGGAGGCTGGGCTGCAGGTAGGGGTCGCTGTCTGAACAACTGAGTTCAGCAGAGGCATGTGACATGGACAGTGTGTCGAAGTTCTCCCTTTGCCTATGAGGATGCTCATGCATTCACTGGGCTGCAGGTCTTGTACCTTTGCGAAGAACAAGGTGGCCGGACGGCTCAGGGGGTCCGGGGGCGCGCTGTGCATTGTGGCCCAATCGACGCTGCACGGAAGAGATGTGCGGTTTGTGAAGAACGGCGCGGCGCACGGTGGGGCGGTGTACGCGGAGGACTCGCTGGTGGACATGGTGGGCGGCGTGGTGGAGGGGAACAGGGCGGCCCTGAGGGGGGGCGGCGTGTACGTGAACATCACATTCGGAACGCTCTTCGAGCACAACATCAGCGCGCGCCTGTGGAACACGTCCTTCGTGAGGAACAAGGCACGGATCGGAGGTAGGTGGCTGAGCCGAACTGTTTTTCCTTGCATGCCGCGTGCGAGAGTGCTGAGTCACACACGAAGCTGAGCCACGTGCACGGGTGGACGGCATGAATCAATCGCTGCGTCCTTCCGTGGAGATCCCATCTTGTTTCGACCATTAACCACTGACCCACGTTGACCTTGTGAGCGGGAGAAGGGATAAGACAAGGGGACTAATATATTCTCCGGATGGACCTCCGTGTCCCGTATCCGGCACCATGACCATAGGTAATGGTGTGGAGGTGGCTTAGCTCACCGCCCAGCGGCAAAGCGTGTTGTCTCCACGAGCGCAAGATCTGTTGCACTGCTGCAAGACACTGTTATGAGTGATGCATTGCTGTGAATAGCGCATTGCTGCGATTGCCTGCAATTCACGAATCGTACCCTCCAGGCGGCGCCTACCTCTTCATCGGCCGCGGCCTCGCCGCGCTGGACGTCGAGAACTGCACCAGCAGCGACTCCACCGCGCCCACCGTGCACAGTGCCGTCAGCTACCTTGCCGCCTGCGGCGTGGACCCCCAGCAGCAACGCGCCCTCTTCCGCTCCACGTTCATGTCATTTAAGGCCGCACAGTTCGTGGACAACAACGCCACCCAGACCGGCGGGGCGCTCTTCACCAACGCTCCCGAGGAGATCGACGTCTGCTGCGGCTGCGGCGGCAACCTGAGCCACGCAGATGTGGGGAGGACCACCGCGGGCCTGGACTCCAACAACCCGTGTCCGGAGACGTGGCTGAGGAACGTGGCCGGGAAGGTGGACGGGGGCAACGTTCTGGCCACTGCGGCCACGTTCGTTAAGGCAAGGCACCGGCACCGGGCTCTTGCTTGATCGTTTCCTTTTTGCCGTCCTTTCCTGTTTCCTTGTCTGTTTCCTTTCCTGTTTGATTATTTGAGCTCAGCAGATATACATGACATGACCAGTGTGTCGATTGTTCACGCTGCCTGTAAGGGTGTTTACTCACTCACTCCTTTACTCCTTCACCCCTTCTTTTCTTGTTCCTTTCACTAGGAAATCAAGGGCCAAATAACACGTGTTCAAATGTGTATAAAGTTTACGGTTTTAGATTGTTTTTGTGTTTTTGGCGTGCAGAACACTGATAATATGCATACACATGTGTTCGCAAAAAGTGTTATATGGTCCTTGTTTTCCTACTGTTTCTGCTTCTTTTCCAGTTCCTGTCCTGTTCCTTATTCATCTCTTTTTTCCTGTTGTCTTGTTTGGCTGCTTTTAATTTCTTGCATTCTTTTGTTGCATTTGTGTCTTCATTTTCACTGTTTCCTGAATTGTTTGCCTTCTCATTTTTGCTGAATTTTCGTTGCTAGTATGTTGCTTCCTCTTTCTACTGCTCCTCCTATTCTGACTGCTTTTCTTCTTTCTTCCTACCTATTGAAATGCGAAAAGAGCAGATAATTGCTTTTGACACCAACATATAACATCGCATTCAAGATTCCAGGTACATTGGGTTGTCGTTGTGTGAACACCCCGGTGACGACCATCCACTCACCCGGACTGACCATCCATGCGTGTTTGCGAAGGTGTGCAACGCCAGCGGGTGGTGTGTCGACGAGGGTGGCCTGCTAGAAATCTCCGAACACAACAGCGGCAACTTCTTGAGCGAAGTGACCGTCAGGATGTTCAACGCGTTCAAGAGGACGCTGGTGGGCCCCGCGGACTCGGTGATCCAGGTGGAAGCTGATGAGCAGACGGTGAACTTGTCCGGGGAGCGGCTGGCGCATGGCCAAGGAGTGGTACACCTGCGGCACATCTTCATGCAGGTGAGCACGGCAAAATGAGCGATCCTTCTTTACATTAACATTCATTGAAAATTGCTGCTGCTCTTGTCTGATAACGCCCTCGAACGCCACGTGAGATTGCTCGCCTTTTGTTTGGCACTACCATAGGACATTCAACCCTTCCGCATTGGTCCATCCCGAACGTTTTTTTTTTCTTTTTTCTCCCCATCGTGTCGCGTGGGCTCTGAGGGGGCTCTAGAGGCTGTGTCCCAAGTTTCAAGTGCAAGTCCCAAGCCTCGTACTTGCGTCCACCGTGCGACACCAACACCCAGCTCTGGGGGCGATCGATCGAGGCCCCCGCGAAGCTGGTCCGCGAAGCTGGGTCCCTTGCCGCGAATACCATCATCCGCCAAGCTCACCGCGCTGCCCGTGTTCCTGGCCCCGGGCGGCTCCCAAGGCGCCCCTTCCGGGCGCCGCGCCCTCCCCCCCGGCTGGCCGTTGGTCAATGCGCGCGCGCCCGCTGACCGCCCCCACTCCCCGCCCGTGCCATTCCGTGTAGGCACTTTCGGTGTCAGCGCCCACTGTCCCCACCGCCTGGATGGCAAGCAGCGGGCACCCAGCTGCCTGCCAATCGGTCGCCCAGGAGCCTGCCGGGTGGCGGGGAGTGCCAAGAGGATGGTGCAAGGCGGGGTGGGCCTTCGCGTGTCCAATCGGCGGCGGGCTGGGCGACGCGATCGGCTGCAAAATCGAGTCCGCGATGGTGCTGGCATATGCCTGCTATCGCTTCTAAAGGCTCGAGGCCCGAGCCGCTCGGATGGCAAGCGGCGGGCGCCTGCCTGCCTGCCTGCCGATTGATCTCCCAGTGACCTGCCAGGTGCCAGGGCCAAGCCTGTCCTGAAGCCGCGCCCCGAACATCACTAAATTCGGCTGCTCTGGATTTCCTTCTGGCACCATTTTTTTATCAATAAAAAAATCAATTGATCGACTCCACGATAAAGGGCCCAGCGTTACGTTACTATGCGGAAGGATGTAAAACACTATGGTAGTGTGAAGCAAAAACGCATCAGCTTCAATGCTCGCACTATTACACTTGCCAAGCGTGTGCCAGCAACAATAAGATCTCGGTGATGTCTTTGCTGTGATTGAGCTGTCAGTACCCCCAGCTATGATTTCATTTTCAATATCCCCAGCTATATTTGTGACGATTCAATATTGCGTCTGTCTTTCTTTTTCATTTTCCAGAGGGGGAAGTTTGAAAGATCTGTAGAGAACTTGGCTGCCCGCATCTGTATACCACTTTGATAAAACAACGCATTTGTGCACAGCTGCAGTTCTACAGTGCGAAAGTAGGTACACTCAACACCAATAAGAAATCATGGTCCGTGGCGCAAGCAGCGATCCATCAGGTGCGAAACCTAATCGTTGTAGAATAAAACAGCGGCAATTTTGGTGCCATTTTTCATCATTGACTGATCCGGAAGCAATTCCCTCCGCACTGGCGCAGGCTGCGGTGAACAAAACCCACAATCTTACACTCACCTTCATCCCCCCCATCTTCTCCAACGTCACCATAGAAGTGCACGTGCGCAACTGCCTTCCTGGGGAGGTACTGGAGAAAGGGGGCCAGCGGTGCAGCCTGTGCGGCGACGGCCGCTTCAGCTTCGACATCTTGGAGGAGTGCAGGATCTGCCCCACCGAGGCCACGTGCTCCAACTCCATTCTGGTGCCCAACAATGGCACCTGGCACTCCACTTCCAAGTCTCTTCAGGTGGCTACTGAATCTTGTATCCAATCTGTCTCAAATGGCGACAGATGCTGGTTGCTGTTCTGCACCTTGCATGGCGCCCAACGCCCAACGCCCGACGCTGGCCGGCATTCTGTCCGCATACAAACCACCCACGCTGAAATGATTTTCTTGTTGCCCTCGAAACGCTGATGTTCGCTTACAAATCCATGCAGGTGCACGCCTGCGTGCTGGCGCAGGCGTGCAGATACGACGGGCGGCCAGAATGGCTGACAGGGAACGCGAGTGCCGTGCATGTCCGAGGCGGGACGCTGACGTACAAAAATGAGGACTTGTACCAACAGTGCGCAGAGGTGGGTTCTCCGTCTCCGTTTCAAAGTCTTGTGGCGAGAATGTGTCGAGAATGTGTCGAGAATGTGCCGAGAATGTGCCGAGAATGTGCTTAACTGGATTGGTTAAACCCCCATTGCATGCAGCGGGACAGGGCAGGCAGTCAGGTCGAGTGTAGCACAGGTGAAGTTACGTACCTTCGTGTATACATTGGGTGTATTCGCCGGCCCGGATATCGCCTACAAGGCACCAATGGCTTCGTTTGCAGTGGATGCTGCGAAGCCTCAATCCATAGGAAATACCGCGCCGCGCCACGATGCGATCTCTCCGGTGCGCTAGACAGGGCCGACAGCGGTCCCATCCGCTGCGTGAATTCACCACCGGAGTTAGGTATTTGCGGCCAATTGGTAGCATTTATCGCTATCAAGCTGGCATGGATGCCAATGTGGAATCGGTCTTCATCCACATTGTGCTCTTTCGGTTTTTGTGCCTCGCGCACAATGAACGGAACGCCCAGTTATCTGGGCAAACGGAAATCCGTTCACTTGCGGAACGCTCTAAGAAAAGGTTCTGCCGCATCGTAGGGTTACCACGGCGTTCTGTGCGGTGCCTGCGACTTGACGCACGGCAAGGTGAGGTCAGGGGAGTGTCAGAAGTGCGGAGCGAAGGCCATGAATATCTTCATCACCTTCGCCGTGGGCCTGTGGCTGTTTGTCCTCTGCGCTTTCATGATAAGGAACGCCCTCGTCACTCACAGGTACTACGGCAAAAACTTGGTCCCCAAGTCGCAGCAGCCGCGAGAACCGCCTAAGGAGTTTGTCCGCACAATCGTCGCCGCTAGAGAAAGAAACTCTTATCAGGTCAATGACATCATGGCCAGCAATCCGGAAGTTCACAACGGCGCCTGCTGCAACAAGCAGGGCCCTGAAATACGGAACCAGGACAGAAATTACTCCTCAGAGATTTTTAAGGTGAGTTTTCCGTGCGCGGCTCTTGCATTTAGATTAGGGAAGACATTTTATCTACAATGGTACACATAGCGTCAAACTGACTCTTAGTGGGTGGGTGGGGGTCGGGGTGTGGGGGGCCGGGGGGTAGGGACTGGGTTAGACCCGTGATGGTAAGAACTTGCATATAACTCGATGTTCCCATTCAACGCAGAGAACGCTATTTTCCACAAAAGCACGTTCACCCCACTCACCAGAATCTGTATCCATTCCTGGTGTGGCTGAGCTTGAGCAGAAAATAAATAAGGCTTGAATTCCTGTACTTCTACATTCCCAAAGTTCTACTGGCTTCCAAATGGCTGCAAAGGATTTGCTTCGTTGGCGACGAAACGACAACCCTTTTGTTTCTTTGGGTTTTCCAATAGAATTAGCCCATGTTGAAGTAGATTTTATTCACTGGTCCTCTCTGACGGCGAGGTGATGGGGACAACCCATAGAAGGACAAATCCTTGGTAGCCTTCAGAGTGCTGTCAGCTTTGCGAATTCCATCGTGCATGGGCACAAAAACCGAATAAGTTGCAGTTGCAAATGAGTAGTCCAGACGTTTTCGCTGTTTATTGACACATGGGATGGCTGTATGTCTGCAGATTCTAATAAATTTCCTGCAGGTCACCGGAATCGCAATCTTCATCAATGTGGACTGGACGGTGTCGGTGGCCGGTCTGCTGGGACTTACTGGTGAGATCACGAGCCTCGTTTTGAGACAGCAGGAAGAAAAACGCTGTTTCACATAATATGCATCGTGACTTGCCACAATGCACATGCAGTAAATGGCTGCAACACCGCTCGTCCCCAGAAATCGTTTTGCCAATTCACTTCTCATGGAAGTTGCGCGACAAATGTGCAGTGATGAATGGAGGAATGCCTTCACAACAATAGTGCCCGTTGGTTGCAACAAGATATGCCAATTCGCTGTGCAATAGGACAACATGATATCCTGGATATCATAAAATGTCGTACCAGCGTTTTCGACC